ACCTCCAAAAGGGTTGAATCCGGGCCTGAGAACGATAAAAACCATAGAACATCATAGAACAACGCTTTGGAGGGTCTGACCCCCAAGCTTCAGGGTCCCAGGGTTCTAAAAAAAAGGCTGAGTATCATCTTTGCCTCAGGGAGTTAAGATGTTAAGAGCCTTTCCGGCTGGCGGATCCGACACGATGCGGATCAGTGGCGTGGCGTGGCGATCCGCACCGATCGAAAAGAAGATCGTGGCGTGGCGCAAGCCCCAAACAGTGACACAGTGAACAGTCCCACTAAGAATACGAAGATCTAAGACATTCTAAGACGAGTCTAACTAAGTCACGCCTGCAAACTACATCTTAAGGTCCGCAAGATCTACACGCAAAGATCTCAGGAATCAACGCGCACAATATATCACGGAAACACTCTGATGTTTGATGAAGTATATTTCCTCTCTCCCCGCTTAGCCTGCGCCTGAGAGCGATTTTCTTTTGGCGGAGATTTGATGGCGTCCATCTGTGGGGTTATATATCCGATTCCAAAAGTGACAGTGGATGTTTTTCCGCTAAGTGGAGTGGTTGGATGATGGTTAGGTTGCAGGGCCTTTCTCTAAAAATTGTGATATTACAATTCAATTGTTTACCGGGTATACCGACTGTTGCAACTAAATAGGACTCCCCCAATCCATCTGCCCATCTGCCCGACGTTCCTCGCCATCCGGCAGCGGCGGGACGCGGCTTCCGCAGCGGAAGTCTCCACGCCAGCGGCGGTACCTTCCGCGGTCGTTGAGAGGACGAGCCGTAGAATGACAAAGACCGGGAGGTGAAAACGGTGTGTCGAACGGTGTGGAGGCGAGGTTTAACCACGCTTCAATCCACCCTCCCAGGCTTTCAAACGTTGGATCAGAAAGGCGATCAGAAAAGCTTGAAAAACAACAGGTTTTAGAGACTGACACCTCTGTTTTTCATGGTTTTGGATTGGCATTCGACTTTGGTTGGTCAACCATGCTATCATGATGAATGGTATTAAAATGTGTGCCGGCAGTCTTCAGTGGTGTGAGTTGTTCGGATGTCGGTGTCCATTATTGCGAAGTAGACGCGTTTTTGGCAAACATATCGTCTATGTCAACAGTGCACCTGTTGAGCACGTCCCTTTCCCAGTGGACGATGATGATGGGTCGGCGACGGACAGCGATTCGGGGTCGAAGGTCGGTGTAAAAAAAAGGGTAAACGGGGGTGAACGGGGGCGATTGTATGATTGGGAGGATTGATAATTAAAAGGTTTTCTCCCCCCAAAAAACATTTTAGGGAGTCAGCCCGGTCCAGAAAATTGCTTGTAGCAAGGAAACATTGAAAAAATGAAAGGACGTCGTTGCCTATTCACTTTCTTTTTGAGTTCTTCTGATGCTGAGGGCAAAAAGGAACACAACACCAGCAGCAGCAAAGGTTCTTAATCTATAGTATTCCCGAACCCTAAAGACCCTCAAAAGGTGAAGGTTTCGAGGGTCCAGACCCTCCATAGGAGGGTCCAATGATGCTTAGGATAAACCAATTCGAAAGGAATCGTGGGCGACAACCCCCCCGGGAAAATTCTACAAGTACCACGGTTTTGGAATCCTTCTGGCAGCATCACTTGACAAACATCGACATCCAACATGATGGTGTCGTACTTTTTAGGTCACCTTGCAAAAGCTCTTTGCAGCCATAGATCCACACTTTTCCTCTTCGCATGGATCAAGCAGCACAACATGCGCACGTGCTGCTTGCAGTGTTTCGTGGGGGGCACGTCCCATTGCTTTCGTTGAAGAGGATCATCTCTCTCTGCTGCTTTTCTTCGGCCTGGCGGAGGAGAGACTGCACCAGCGATTCGTTTTCAAAGGCCTTCTCCAATTGGAAGGATTCTGGACGCTACGATCGGGGCTGCTGCCTTACTACGAACGGAACAAGAGGACGCTACTATACTAAGGACTCGCATCGCGACTCGAACGGAGCGATCGGATCGGACGCTAAGGATTCCCCCATCATCAGAAGTCCTGATTCGTTCGCATCGTTTCGGTTCGTATCCCCACCGTCGGTTTTGATCGGAGCGAGGCGATGGACCATCCGCTGAGGTGTTGGACACAGAACGGTCCTATATATTTCCTTTCTTCTTATATATCTTCTTATAGTGTGTTAAAGATTGTCCAAGTAGCCTGGCGCTACATCTCCAGAATGCTGTAAGCACATTAGACCAAAGCAGAATATTGTAAGGAAGCATGGCTTGGCTTAGACCACGTGGGGCGTCTTAGTCGAGATCTTTTGAGACATGGCAAGACTTGTGATTTCTGATCTCCTTATTCCCAGTATGTTCCCAAACCCACCATCTTCGCGCCCCTGGCCCAGGAGATCCGCGGGTTCTGAAAACGGCCTCCTGTCGCTTGGCCCTCTCTTCCTCGGTCCTTGAAGAGAGTGGTTTCCGCGGGTTCCGTATTCAAATCGCGGAAAAGGAAGTGCTCCTATGCTCCCAAACCAGATGCCTATTGTCCGAGAGGGTGAACCCCCGCGCGCGGACCGGTGGGTGAGCTCGCTCACCGCCAACCGGACCGGTTTTTTCTCCGCTGAGCGGGGACTTCCTGCGGTGCGTCGACCGCAGGAAGCCCATCATCACTCGAAACTGCATGATGGGCCACAACGGTGGACCCTTCTGGGCAGGGAGAAGCATCCCTAAACCCTTCAAACATCTTCAAACAACATCTGCGGCAAACAGAAAGGGAACCCTAGTTGTGGCACTTCCGTTTTGACCACCAAACGTCTAGATGGGACACGCACTCTATAGCTGCTAGCCAGCGTGATGTTGATTCCAAGTGACTGGTGGTTCTTCCAAGTGACTGGTCACTTGATCCGATGGCTTTTTCAGTCACGTACGTAAGGGCCCGCCAGGTCGGTCCCCTATTGATCCTATTGACTCGAAGAAGATGCGAAAGATGACGAAGATGGTGCGGAAACCTTCGTTGTCGCAAAGCTGGTCATGTGACCCTCCAGTTCTGAGGGGTCCATTGATGAGGACAAAGACCAACATGCGTGTCCAGGTCGACGGTCTGGTCGAAGTTCTGGGGCTCCCAACTCCTCTGGATCCTCATCGATGTCGGGGAACTGGAAAGGCACCTCTGCCTGCACCGTCGGTCCAAAACCGATGAAGTCGACCGGTCCAAAACGGATGCGGAATGGAGAAATGCATGTGATCGAATGGGGAAGCCAACAACCAATACACCCTATGACATCCTATGACTGGTTTTTCCACTTGTCACATCTTGTCACCCTTTTTGGTCCACCCCGCAGCAAGTTGTTCTTTTTTTAACCCTTCCCGTATGTTTTTGTCCACCCCTATGATATGTCTATACTTTTTAAACCCCGTATGTTTCATGTCTTGCCTCCTGGAGTCTGCCTAGTTGGAGTCTGAAGTGACATCAAGTTCCATGATCTCACCATGACCAAGACTCTGAGTCTCACATACTGTCACTCAGTGGGACACATCATCGGAATCAAATGACGCTCTCCAAATGTTGCAAAAGTAAAATTGCAACAAAGGTATCAAGGAATGAAGTAAGCATGTCAGTTCAAGTCACGAAAGTAGATTCAGGCGGGAGTTTGTTGTAGCCTCCAAATGTGACAGCAGCCGAAAGTGCGAAAGAAACCAAAAGCCGGGGGCATCCACAGGGGGCTACCAAACACAGCCAGGATCTTGAACAGTCCGCCGAGCTTGCCGAGATTCAACAAGAGACTTACAGTGGAAGTTCAGGGCACGCAAATGCATATTCACCTTTTACATCCTTTTACAACCCAATTCGTGTACTTATGTGTACTTCTCGCTCTTGCGTTTCCCATGTTGTGCAAACCCTAGAAAGGAAATAGCCACACAAGGGGAACAAAACAAGCAGCGCCGCTTCAATTTAAAGCTTTGGCTTTAACCAGTGCTTCATCATATGCCCCAAATCGTCGCAGCGGTTGCAGAGGTTCAATGGCAGCGGCACCCCAAGATGTCTGTCGACAGATGGGACTCAATATAAACCACCAAACTTGGGGAATGTGATGGATTGTGGTATCTACTCTGAAACCATATGAAACCACTCAATCTAAGAGGGAACGGCTGGTAGTTTCACGCCACACACTTCAGAGGACGCCCGTAAGCATGGCCGGCCCTTTACTCCTATACCATGAGAATCTCTCGTGGCAGCTGTGACAGCCCTCGCGATCTCGATAGCGGTGAGGACTTCCACGCTCTCCTTTGTCATAGCAAGTGTTGCACTCTCCTTTTGTTCGGCCCTCTGTGAAACACCCAGAGCATCCATGGTATGGACGATTGTGGAGGTATATCTATAATTATCTATATATGTTGGGATGCCGAATGCCTATACATCGACGTCAGGTCAACCACCCCCATGTGAGTCAATAGCTAGTAGGTTGGAGGCCATCGCTACGAACGTCCATTCGCCTCACCACCGCCATCCACCGGCTCGGGAGGCGCCGCCTGCAGGCTGCGAGGTAAGGCAGTGGTGTAATCCATGCAATGCATGTATCAGAAATTCATAGAAATTCTCCTCCAAATAGGGAAGATGTCCAACATCTTCAACTGAAACTGTACACTTTTAAATTCTATTTTTGACCAAACATACTACAGTCATTTATAGTCTGGTATCCAAATGTATATTAAACATTGTACAAACATGCATAGGTTAGAAATTCCCTCGGGATCCAAGTACCTTCTCAGAAGGTACTTGGACCCTCCAAACCTACATAACAGTGCCTCCAATCACCTTCTGAGAAAGTACTTGGATCCCTAGGGATTGTTATTATAGGCTTAGCAAAGTAGAAAGGACCGACGCAACAGCGCTTCGAAAAACTGATCTTATCAGCTAATCCTTCTGGTCCTTCTCTCCTCGATCGACGAAAGCGGTGACGCGTGGCTCACCGGTTCCCTTTGTTTGAAGAGCCTATCTACTGGAGACACATATGGGGCCAATGGGGGACGTGGTTTGGGTCTATTTCCTGAACCTTCCAGACAAAAACCGCTGCCTGAGAGGTCTCAAATCTCAGTCCCTCCGGGAGGAGTCATTTGCTGCAGCAGCCGGGCCACTTCGATGTATGACGTGTACAGCCGTGTACATCGTCTTTTCTTCCACCATTCCTCTCCTTAAGGGCAACTGTCCGACCTCGAGGCACCTCTAGGAGTGCGCTTGCGCAGCCCGCACGTTTCAATGCGTATACTGGTTTACTGAAGAACTCTGAAGAATTCTGGACTGAACGTCCGAACAATGTTCAGAACGTTGGAAGTCCATTGGGCCCACCCCCATCGACTTCGGCCCATCTGCGCCGCGCACGCCGCTGCATGGGGGCTTTCCTCTCTTAAAACTTTGAACATCTAAAGATCTAAAGGCCCAGTCCTGCCACTTTTAGGGTTTGAACTTAAAACGGTGTTAGTATGGGATAGTCCATTTTAAAATGCACTTATATAAATTACATCCACTGCAGGTGCTAGTGCTGACGCAGCTCCCGTGCCCAGTGGCCCTGCGTGGCCTGGGGATCTTTGTCCTCCCCGTTGCCTGCAACCGAGAACCAAACACGCCAAAGCTGCACAAACGAAAATCAGAAACACTAAGAATGTCGTGGAGCTGACAAATGCATTGTGAGAATAATCAATAGACAGTGGAGGTGTTGGCTAGAAGCAATGGAGAAACACATAATTCTATAGCATGGGACCTGGGAAGCAAGTTGGAATAGCCAATCCAGAACAACGCGGTGAAACTTGCCAGAAGATCAAGAGGAACCTGAAAGAAAGGTGAAGATCGAGTTGTGAAAACATTTTATAACATGTTCATACATTTTCGGTTTAGCAAAAGTCAAACTCAAAAAAGTCAAAGCGATGCTTATCACCACGCACAACCACTGCGTCAGTGGTGCCTTCGCCGCCTTCGACTACAGGCGTCGCTGCCGCGTCGGTGGACGCCTCGGTCCCTGGCGCATGGCGTGGCGGTCCCCGCTGCGTCGTAGCTGGGTCATCGTTGAGTTGAGGACCCCAAAAATGGACTGGTGTGGTCACCTGACTGGTCTGGGATGGGTTGGTGGTCAATGTTTTGGCTGTATTAGATTGTATTAGCCTCATGTTTGAGACGAACCATTACATAGAATCCCATGCAACCTCCCTTCTTCGGGGTCCAGAATACAGGGTCTGGTCTGGAGGGTGTGTCATGGGTTGGAATTATGAGAAATTTAGGAAAGGATTGCAGGCACCCTATTCAATACTCCCCCAACACCCCAAACATCCTCAGGCCTGTTGGAGCCTTGGTCGCAGTCTCACCTGCCGCAGCAAGCGCGCAACCAGAAACACACCCCTCAACACACCGCTGGGCGGACACCGGAGGGGATTCAGCAGACTTCTGCCCTATCTGAGTAGGAAGCTCCCGGCAGGGTATATAGCTGCGGAATAGCCATCAGAGCTGGAGTTGGGTTGACCTTGAATGCGGCAACGTTCTGGGCTTATGTGAAGTGGGTTCAGTGAACCTGGTGGATTGATAACGTAGCTATGTAATACATTTTTCTGCTGGGCTTCAGTTCAGAAGCACTTCACAATCACCGTGTTACCAGTCTTGCAGCGCTTCCCGCCTACTTGTGCTCGTTCGGCCGCTCGTTCCGCCTCACCTGGTGTCTTGCTACGCCGGGCCGTGCTCCGGAAGATCGAAGGGTTCGTGCCGTGACCATCGTGGACCATCCGGAGAAGCACCGTCCATCGGTGTGACCCGCCAGGTGTTCCTTGGTTTCGTGAAACATCTCCTTGGTTCCTTGGTTCAAGACCTCTGAGAGCGAAAGGAAATCTGACCATAAACTTTGAGGCCGACCCGGTGAAGAGCAGAAAAGCCGACCCAATTGGACAAGTATAAAGTATATGATATCGACGACGACAGACACTCAATGTCATTGCTGAATTTCGATTGCAACTACTTGCACATCAAAATCCAACAAGCACCTACGACTCAAAGACTTGATCTCGGGACCCAAGAAGTTGAAATGATATTGAAAAGTTAAGGAGTAAATGTGCCAACAAACAAGCACAGCAGAACCTGTTTTTCTCATTTTCTCCAAGAACGTCTTATGAACAGCACAAAGAAAGAAACACACAACAGTCACTTTCTTGGACCATTTCATCCTTGACCATCTTTGACCCTTCAAACAAGTCACCCATCAAAATCCTGCAGAAAACCTTCTCCGCTGCATCCAGAATGGAAAGAATAACAGAATAACAATGAAAGAGGAAGATGGTCCCATGAATGGCCATGTTGTTTCTACAAACAGGTGGGTCTTCGATGGGGTTTTCCACTTCCATATTCCATATGTTCAGGGACTGTATCTCCATAGATCATCATGGATCCATCCGCTTGCCACGTCGTTTTCGCTGCCTTCTTGACGCCTCCGTTCCCGCAAGGTCAGCACCGCGCGCCTCGGGCACCGGCGGCGAATCGGAGACCGCAAGGAGCATCACATGAACAGCTTGATGAACAACCCCCTCATACGAAGAGGTGGTTCAATCCAAGTAGGGGCGGCTTATGAATAATAAGAGTCTACTTTAAGGAGATTTTCAGCCTCCAACTTATGAAGGTTAAAGAAGACATCGTGCTGCTAGGGACTCCTGCAGGGCCTATAGCAGTTGGTCAAGCAGAAAGAGCATACGCCACTTTTACAATAGTATATACATCTCATATAATCTCATGCTATCACACTGTGGTTTTGGTGAAACCGTTTGCCAGGTTTAGTGCGATGTAAACTGTTCTGCCCTCATTTTGGCGACTCCAGTGGATTTCGGGATTGGAGAACAGGGCATCGTTGACTCCAAACATCCTATATAAGATCCTAAGGGATTGGGATCACCTGCGATTTTCCAGACAAATGTGTTCAACATCTCCTCGGTGTTTCTTGCAATGTCTGCTACTATCCACAACCTGCCAAAAAGCCGTGCGCTGTGATGTGCCGCCAGGTACGGCAGGGCCGGGAATAACAATGGGCACATAAGCAATCCCTGCAATCGTGAGGTTCATGGTGAGAAACATGGGCAGGTCTCAGTGAGCTCCCCCAGGTTCTGTTTCGAATTGTAACAAAGTACCAACCCTCTGATATTCTTTCGATGTGTATTAGTTTTCCAACCCCCCTGAAGCGTTTGTTAGGCATCTTTCGAGGGTATCTCCTTGTTCGTTCACCCGTCATCTCCGCGCGGGGCCCGCGGGGGGCCCGCGCTCGAGGCTCTCCACGCGCCGTGTGACGTTCCTGGAATCCACTCGGTGAAGGTTCTGGCACTGGTTGCCGCAGAAGCTTCGACCCTTCTGTACTAGCAAGCTGGTGAGTTTGGAAGGGGGTTTGATGAGTCCATGGTACCTAATGCAACATCAAAGCCCTTGCAAAAGATGCTCAGAGTGCAGGTTCCAGGTTGCCTATCCTATCCGACAGGTTCGACATCAAAGAAACATCCGAGGTTGCTATCTGAAAAATGTTACAGTAAGCAAACAAGCATTTTTAAGCAACATTGAACCACAATAACCTATGAGTTTCCATCCGTAACCCAAACAAGTATATACTCAAAATCTCATCCTGGCAAAGGTTTGGTCATTAAGTTTGGCGTGATATTCTTTAGTCACCTCTATCTGCCTGCCCGGGGTTGTTGGTGGCCCAAGCCTAGCCTCAACCAGTAATGCCCCCCTCACAGGAAACACGCATTGCACACTCCAAGACTCCAAAAGAGAAGGAACAAAGGACTTGGTTCAAAAACAACATCACATTCCATCTAGGATGAGAGAGAGAGAGAACCTAATCATATTCAAGGTTCTCTTGTTCAAACAGGATAAGACTCCAACAAAATATGATAAGATATGATAACTATTTGGCTGTCCATCCTTCTTTGTTCCAAGCTGGCACCCGTACGTTGCTCCCTGCGAGCTCCAGCACGCCTCGCGAGAACCTTGTAGCGCTCTAAGACCATTTCCAACCTCAAACCATGTGGATGGACCTCCCCAGAAGGTCGGATGGAACAAGTTCTACGCCAGGTCAGATGTACGTTCCAAAACCTCCCTATAACATCCCTAAAACCCCGATCACCGGCGCTCTGAAGGTTTTTTCATTGAATCTTTCCTTTTTCAGGTGCTAAAAGCCGATCTTCACCGATCTTCAACCTCAGGTCAACAGGTCAACAACCATGACCCCATCCACCAAGCGCTCTCTCTCTCTCTCTCAATATGTATGTACCCTAAGAAGTTCAGATCGACCATTTTGGGCAACACCAAAGCAAAGCAAACTCCTTCTCGGATCAACCAAAGACCCTTTTAAAATTGCTCCCAGGGTATGCATACATGCATACCTGGGAACTCCGCCTCTGCAAAATTTACGCGTGTTTCCGAAACACAAAGAATTTACGTCGCTTCAATAGAGAAACGCGGTTTCAAAAAAAAAACGTTCGTTCATGCCGGTTCCTGCTCAAGTAGTGGGCAATCAGACGACGGACGACAGATATCCAAACAATAAAGATCATCATGTTCAAACCCTTGACCCTTCTGAGCAAAGAGCATGTTAAGCCAGCAAATCCAAATACTTGCTAAAATCCTTGGCCCTTCTAATAACCAGCAAATCCAAGCACACATGTCTCCATCTTTGTTTTCCTTTGCCGCTGCAATGGTCTCCACTTGTGTGGAATCCAAAGGCGAGTGAACTTAAGCGGCCAGTCGTTGCTTCTTGTTTTGCACAGCACGGTCGTACAGAAGCCCCGCCTTGATTAAGTAGTTGGTCAAGACCCTCACTCCCATGACCCTGTGGTCGATCTTGCGGGCCATCCGGCATACTCGGCCTATGAAGTCCTCGTTCTGGGAGCAATCAAATAGCAACGGGTTCAACAGCAATTGGTTTTGTCGGGCCAATTGACTCTCCAGCTCATACACGATGTGCCGAAAAAAATGGGCCTTCGGCTTGATAGCGAACAAGCACCACTGGAAGGTGAATGAGAGCTGGGCTAGGATAGAATATCCGTTGATGAAGGATCTACCCTTTTCCACCAATGAGGAGCCACAATCCCTGGTCAAAAACATGTTGTGCTTGACCACTATGCCATAGAAGTCCGTGGCCACCGCAGCAGTGTCCCGGATCACTTCCAAGGGTCTTTGATGATCTCGCGGCACCCCACCAACCAGAATTCCACAGACTAAGGTGTGGATCCACATAACCAAAAGGGCGCAGTCAGACCCCTTACAATTGAACCATGGAAACGATTTTGCGTTCTTGTAGCACAGAAGGTGTTTTGTGAAACTTCGAAGAGCCGCATGCTTGTGGGTTGCAAGCTGCCACAAATGAAAGTGGTTATGGGCAGCGGTCAGCTTTGCATCGATATCGCCAGGACCAAAGTAGCCCATGTGCAACAGCATGAACACAACACTGCCGCAGAAGTCACGGTAAATGCCCAAACGCAAAGTATGAAATGAATCGTGCTTATAGAAGGCTTCAGGCATCTCAGTATCATACGGAACCATATCGAGGTCTGGTGGGTTCTCCACATCCCATGGGCGAACCTTGTAGATTGTTGACACCCAACATGGGGACGACCCCAGATCTTCGGCAGGAAGCCCTGCACTGCCAGCGAGGCAGGCGTGACAATGCGGGATGTCACTCTTTTTTCCTTGGCTTTGCTTGTGTGGTTTGAGAAAACCAGGTTTACCAAACGACAATACATCTAGCAGATTCCCCAATGGTAAATCAAAAGTTCATCCCTTCATCCAAATCAAGATTCCTTTGTTCTCGTAACCACGCTTGAGGTGACATATCTTCGACCACCATTTTAAATCCCCCTTGCTCCCAATTGCCGCAGCATACCATGTGTTCCCATCGACCTCCACCCCGTGATAGAAGAGGTCATGAAAATCAGAAGCCACCCGTTGGAGCATTTTGTGCGTAATCGTTTTGTACGCCTTCCAAATTGTTCCTGGAAGAACGAACAAAGGAAAGTGTTGGATGAACGAGTGCCCCTTCAGGTTGCAGACCAAATCTCTTGCTAGTGGGTTTCCGCCCCATCCAACACCATTATCTTCGGGCAAAGAAGTTGGCTTACACTGAGAGCACCGAGTGGGTGCAGCGACCATGCCCAGGACGCACTCCCAGCTGACAACCGTGGTTTGGCTGCGACGCTTTCCACGGCCTTCGTCGCCGTGAAGGCAAATTGGCACCACCCGCGCCATGTCATTGTGATGGACATACGTTTCATGGGAAGGGTGATAAGGGTGGTAAGCCTCCCAGAATGCTGAGATTGCATCGGGATTCCCCCCATGGACTGCTACTGGCTTCTTGGTGACCAAGAATTGTAGTAGCTTCCGTGGGTGTAAGTAATGCACCGACACAATGTCTCCATCGTCAAATTCAAAATCAACAACATCCAGCTCGACCCTCCATCCAAATCCAAAGCGTCCGATCTGTCGGTAAGTGTCCCGGACAATGTTGTGGAGCTGTTCCAAAGCGTCCGACGAGGAGGCGGCGGACGCGGAGGCGGAGGCGGAGGCGGAGGCGGAGGAAGAACAGCTGTGATAAAATCTAACAATTAACCCTCACCTGGCAGGTGGGGAACAACACCTTCAGCTACAGTAGACTAGCTACTGGATTTGCCACGCGCCATGGTGGCCGCAGCCCGCTTCTCCAAAGCCATCCTGAAGGGATGGCAGACGGACAACCCTGTCACTGGTCCAACCTGAACTTCATAAACATGCGGCTAACAGTTTTGGGGGGTTGAGTTGGAATACATCAAGTTCATAGCCCTGCGCCTGAGAGCAGAGATCTTGGCGTTCCTATTTCCGGCGGACTGTGTGGGCCCCCCAAACACGGGCGACTTGTCAGGCTGCCCTGTGCACTTTGCAGCATTGGCTGGCGGAGCGGCGGCCTCAGCTGCACAAGGCAGATGGTCAGGCTCAGACATCTCAATGTCCACCGGAGCCTCAGAGCCTTCACTGTCCAGCATGGTTTGAGTGGATGCCATGTCTTGGGAGTCATGGATCACATGATCGATTTCTGGGTACTCATCTGCAGCAGCTTCAGCACCGGAATAGTGGTCCGTGTCGTCACCCCCATTCTCCCCCTCATCACCATCCTCCTCCTCCTGGAGAGCAGGGCCACCATTGGCAGCCTGAGGTGTGCCCCATGCGCCATCAAGGACTTCCCAAAAGTCGCGCATGGCTGGATCCTGAGCTGGGAGTAAAATGGCACGGTTTGGGATAGATCATGCCTTTCCCTTCGATTCCAGAGAGGATTGAACTGTTGGGCGGGGAAATCTTGGAAAGGTCCACAAAAAAGAACGTCGAAGGCAGTGGTAAAGGCGGCGCTTAAGTGCTAACCCCTCCAAATCAATCCGAATAAAAGGAAATGGGGTGGGACAATTTGGCCCCGGCAAAATCAAGCCGAGTGTCGCGGGGGCGTACTGAACCACTCAACCAGCGACGCAGGCAGTGGGAAAACAGCCTCTTGAGACCCCAAGCGTCCAACGCGACGCTCCCATTGTCTTCATTGAGCGCGCTGAGTTGTCTCCATGCGATGACCTCTCAGGGGATTCGGATTGGGAAGGAGTGATGCCTAAAGACTTGCTTGTGGCCAAACACTAATGGGGCCCCAAGTTTTTCTCACACCCGGGCCTGTTCCCTCATGTCGCCGATAGGCACCGTGCGGGGTGTGGTTGAACGCTCCACCCACCACTTGGCCAAAGCCGTCAAAGGCACTGAGTTCAAAGAACAGGCAGGTCCAGTCGGAATCCCTTTTTGGTTTGGCTTGGGCCACATGGTGAGAACACCATTCTCCCTGGCCCGAGCTCTCAAACAAGCGCGGGACTCCCAATCCTCCGCCAACGCCATGTTGCGGGCTACTCTGAACTCCACAGCGTTGAGCACCAAAAGCTTTTTGGAGTTGTCAGAATGTGTGGTTTTGTGAAAATGGGCTACCCTGATAATGGTCTACAATCCAGTTAAGGTTTTGGGGAACACCCCATCTTCACACAAACCCATGTGGCTTCAATAGCGCAAGCCAACACCGTGACACGGACGCGGCAGCCTTGCCAACCTTTCAACCATGCCGGGGCCACCCTCTGAGGCAGCAAGATCTCTGCGAGTGGCTCCATGCACGGATCGATGGAAGAGAGAAAAAATGAATGATCCAGGGATCTCCATCCAGGGTGTGGTTTGCCTTCCTGGTACTTTGTGATCCAACCAATTATTTGGTTTGTGACACCTACAGTTCATGTTCTAAAGCCATTTGCTCAGAGGCGTGTTGAATTGAGTCACCATGGGCGCCGGGGCGCCCACTCCTCTTTGAAGCCACCTTTGCCTCTGTTTGAACCGTCCTAGCCGGTCGCTTCTCTTCTTTGATCTTCTTTGGCATGAAAATGCCAGAAAACAAAGAAACGCTCGAAAGCAGAAATTATTGTAGGCTCTCTGAAAAAGCAGAAATCCCTGAACAAGCAGAAATTTAGCAGACTCTGGAGTCTGCAGGTATTATGTCTTGTGTATAATATGTACCTGGACCATCCAATGGGTGTCCAATGGAGATTTGAAAGGTCCATTGACCCATTGGATGGTCCTGGAAAACATAAACACACACAAAACACAAACAAATAACGTATACATTAATTACACCGACAGATACACTCACTATGTACATGATATACATTGATTGCCTGCTCTTCTCATCTTTTCTTCCAACATCCACCAACCGACTCCATGGCTTCCCACATCGCGCGGTCACCGCCATGCAGTGGGCTCACCGAGGTCGACGACCTCGACCGACGGAGCGAAGCGGGGCGAAGCGGGGCGAAGCGGGGCGAAGCGGGGCGAAGC